TAGCAGGATGACATGCAAAGGATACAACAAAATTCCAGCATTTCTCTGTGGTGTCTAACAATTTAGACAGTATGAAATGTAATTGCAGCAGAGATGATATTTAGCAATCAATAGCAACGAATCATCTCAGAAATTCACAAAACTAATTAGGATCACAAAACTAAGTGGCCCTCTTTTACTACGAAGCCAGTGTGTTATTCAAAACTGGGCTGACAAGTTGAATACATGTGCCCAATATAATTACACAAACTGCCCTAGTTTTATAAAGCTTCTAGTCCAAAACCTCTTTAAATATTTTATATATAGACACATACTTTTTTATTTCAAAGACAGAATTCCTTTAACATAAGGAGCATTTAAAGAACAAAACAAAAAAAGAGAAGATGGCTAAATAAGTTAAATAGAAATGTTTTACAACGTTTAAGTGGATTGCAAATACAGTGTGGCTGGGTGCCATTACATTTCTTGAACTTTTTTTTAAACTGACCCCATTGCCTTTATTAACTGTTACCATGAACTCAGATTCACCAGCTAGCATGCATGAGAAAGCTCTTTAAAATGTGTTTAGGTCTATGTTTCCGCTCTATGATGTGGAACATAGAGGATACCAGTGAGTGCACTTTTAAAAACATTTCTTCATCTAGGGAGGCGTGCAACCTTGAAGATGTGCTATATTACTTACATTATTGTTTCCAGTGCTTTCTAAAAAGTGTCCTTGTATACTAACAGATTGCTTGCTGTAGATGGCAGGGAGGGCAGAGCCAAATCAGGCACAGTTTATCACCATAAGCTGTGAGGGGTGACCATGTGAACAGCGATCTGCATGTATGTTCGGTGGAAGATGTTCTCCTCTCCTGCGACTGGTCACTGAGAGGTACGCGTGTCCCTGGCTGGTTGCTCTCCAGACCCCGCTCACATTTCCGGCTGCTCAGCAGAGAGACTCGGCCGAGGCTCAGGTGACTCGTAGCGCTGATGGAAGTTCCGTTTCCGCAGTTTCTCGGGTGCCTTCCTCCACAAAACTATTTCCTACAAAAAATACGTGTTCTCTTTTATTCTGGAGGGCAAGGGCAGTGACTGTACCATCGAGCGTATTTTGCAGTATTAAACACGTATTTATACCGATTTCATCAGGCTCCGAAAATTCTTCAAAAAGAACACAAAAAGGCTGCCATAGTTACAACTCTTGCGTCATCAGAACAGGGTGTTCAACGCACCACCGTTTCCGTTTAAAAAACGTTTTGCACCGTTTTTGTCGGGGCTGAACGCAGCCCAGGATTGTTGATTTCAGCGCAAACGAAACTCGTTTGAATTACGTTATTTTTTTTAAAGCTCACTCATGTAAAACAAACAAACAAAAAACAGCAAATAAATGACAAGAGTGAAGCAAAAACTTGGCACTTGTTATCCTTTAAGATTTTATACTGAGAGGTACGCGTGTCCCTGGCTGGTTGCTCTCCAGACCCCGCTCACATTTCCGGCTGCTCAGCAGAGAGACTCGGCCGAGGCTCAGGTGACTCGTAGCGCTGATGGAAGTTCCGTTTCCGCAGTTTCTCGGGTGCCTTCCTCCACAAAACTATTTCCTACAAAAAATACGAAGCATTCTATTCACCTTGCACGATTTTTATATATGATTCTTATAGATAATTCAATTTTATACTGTAAATCTGATTACTACTGTACCTGCTGTTTAAAGTATCTCCTATCTTCTTCATCCACAAGCACCAAGTTCAAAAAGTACCTCACAGAGAATTTCTTGTTTACATCTCTCATTGTGGCTGTAAGGTCATAACCAGCCAGGAAAAGGCGAATAGGAATGGATTCACCTAGAAATACATTTTTAGACCAATAGGGAGGAAAAGTCAGTAATGAAACTGGCAACTTAGTTGATTCTACTTCAATAACCCTGCATTGAACTGAATGTGATGATTCATGCACGAAAGGTTTGACGAATGGTTTACACAGAAATTTGTTCTGTTCGTGATTCATGAATGAGGCCCATTATGTATGTTCTGGCATTAGTACTCTGTGTCTTCTGTAGAAGTAACCTTTTTAAAAGACTCATCTACATTTATATCCTTACAAAACGATACAGAAAATGGTGTGGAGAAGCTGCTCACCTTTCACTGGTGCTCCATCCATAATCTCATATTTAGCCACAGTCTCGGTCTCAGTAGTTGTGCTCGGCCCTAGATAGGCATGTCACAGGATACAAGGTGAAAAGTTTATAAAATTAAATTACAAACATACTATTGTTCAAAAGTTTGGGGGCACATTTTTTTAAATAAAATTTTAATATTACATATTTTATTATGTTATTAAAAATGTATATTTCAAATAAATGTTGCTCTTTTGAACTTTCTATTCATCAAAGAATCCTGAAAAAAATACACCCTTATCCTTTAAGATTTTATTTCAAGGACAGAGGTTTCCAACTCACCTCGATCAATAAATTTACATGACCTACATAGTCACTTCTGAGGCATTAAAAAAAAAACATTTGGATGCAGACCCCTGTGCGAACTGGTTTGACTTATTAATTGAAAAGAACAGACTAATTTACTCACAAATCAAATATCACTAAGGCTTGAAAGATTTGATCTACTACCATTATCTAGTTGAAAACAGCGGACTGTAACTGTGAAAAATATATTCACTTGTTGGATTTTAATCCGTACAAGTAAGAAGTAGATTTTACCCACAATTACATCTTTGAGGTGATACCTGGCAGGCAAGAAGACCTCTGTTAGCTCAAAATCAATTACACTAATAAATTCAAACCAATCAATCCATACATACTCAGAATTACTCAGCAGCTCACTTCATGTAACTAGGATTAAATCAACAGTAAAGTTCTAAGTGCACTTACTTGGACTTATTGTATTCAAACTCTATATGCAGGCAGTCTTCAATGCCCACTTCCATTTTGATAGAGTTGTTGACATCAGGGTAGGAGGCCAGCTGATGCACAATGAGGTCATACTCCTTTACCAAATCAGACAGCCTCCTCACAATTGTAACTTTAAGGAAATACCTGCAGAGACGTGAAAAGCACATGTCCTTGTCTGACTTATGAAAAAAGATAAACAGTTTAAATTAAAGCCAGGACAAATTTTAAAGGCTGTGTGTTAAAGCAGCAGTCAAAAGACAAATACTGTCATTTTTCTCATTAATGCTTAGCCAGGATAATAAAAAAAAAAAATTTACAAAGTCTTCACTAACCTCAATCGCACATTCGCTCCAACATAAGACTCGTATGGCTTTTCCACCTGCATGAACTCAAAGTCATAGCTGCGGTTCTGTGTCAGCTCTCCGGGCAGAGCAAGCTCCTTCACAAGGTTTACAAACTCATGAGTATTGCTTTTATCACTGAAGAGCTCTGCATGAAGGGAGACACACACACTTATGCAGTGGCTAGACAGAAAAAAAAAATACATTGCATGCAGCAATCTTCAGATCGCTGAGACAATCAGAATCACTAATGACGCCTAAAAATTCCAGTTTCAAGTAATTGCAAGTAACAAATTGAATTAAATGTGAAATTTTGTAGAAAAACAAAAATAGAATCTTTGTTTTATTTACAACTTTGAAAAATCATTTTTGCAGACCTTAATAATGAATTCAACTGGGGCACCATAACAGATGCCTCCCTCACAGAAATGTGTAGAGTAGTCTAGCTCCCTTTCCATGTGACAACCACATGCTCTCCTAAGATCTCAGCACAGTAGAACAGCAATACTGAAGCTGGTTTACTGCATGAATGCCTTGAGAAAAGAGAATAAGTGAATGTGTTCAGTTAACTCACCGATCTGTCCTACAAACTCAATGCGAATTCCCTGATGTTCAAGCCTTTTGCCTGTTTGTTTCACATTGATATTTACCTTGGGGTGACATAACACAATGCGTGTCAGTTGTCTTTGAAATTAAGAGACTTTAGGAAAGGACTCACACAGGAGATGTCTACTCGCTCACCTTTCCTGAAACTGATTCTCCATCATAAAACAAATAATGCTTCTCCAATTTCCCATCTTCAGTCTTCAGCTCGGCTGTTTTTCTGCTTTCAGCATCGTTCAGAATGACATCGATTTCACACACTGGGCCAAACAGACCTCCAAGGAAACTCTGAAAGAATGACAATGTAATTCTATTTTTTTCAATTCACCTTGTTAACCATGTTTAAATGATTAAACAAATCATTTAATATGTATGTCTTTAGTCCCTGCTGAGTGATGGCTAAATTTAGGCTACATTTACATTCTATTCTGTGTATTTCTCTTATATTATTGTAGTCGTGATAAAAATGGAAGTAGCGACAAATCTTTTCCTCCATATTGTCAAATCAAACTAACTGATTGGATAAGTCTGGCATATGTGAGCAGAGAGAAGTCTGACATTTACCCAGAAGATCGAGTTGTGACAGTAAAAACATATGTATGTATAATTTGCAAAAAGAACTATAACATGCATTTAGAAAACAGACAAGGTGAATTTTCATTTCATGACAACTTCATTTCACATACTTTGTATTTGGATCAAATATGAGACATCCCATTTTGGTGTCCGCACTGATTTAAATTTACAAAAGTGATTTTACAAACCTATAAAGCATAATAAATGCAAGTAGACTGTCTACTTTAACATTTTAAATAACTTTTGTGAAAATAAAATGTCAAAATATTTGAGAAATAATGTTCCATTGTCATTCAGTGTAACAGACATATTTATGTAACAATAAAGCAACATATTAATTCTGAGCCGTGCTTATTAAACTATGTAAAAGAAAAAGTAAGCATACTAAATTGTAATATATTTTAAATGATTAGAAACTTTGTTTGAAGGAGTTTTGGTAGCTGCACTCACTGTGATCCTTAAATAATGTCATTTCTTTTAATGCCACCTAATGTTTCTTGTTCTAAAGATGCCTGACAAAATATTTTGGTATATGAACTATTGTTACACTGAATGGCATTTTAGTGGGTGTCTTCTGTAAATCACGGTAAAAATGTATGATTAAAAAAATTATTAAAGCAGAAAAAAATTAAAGCTTTATAAATCTGATATTTGAAAACCCATTTTCGTCTTTGTCCCACGTCACATACCTAGTTTAGATTCAATGTGAGAATATTGAAAATCTAGGTTTTCCCAAATCAGGGTCTTAAACTTTTGACATATCCCAATTTTTGGTAACAGGCATTTGTACGTCACTTGTGTAAAGTGCAGCAGTAGTATAAAAACAGTTTAGTTCTAAATTAAAAAATTAAGTGTTCAAAATTATGAACACTTTGACATAACTATTAGGGGTGACAAATTTGTGGTCCTACATCACAACAGCGACATTCCAAGTCAATCTGTTTTACACAGGAATTTTACACATCAATTAACATATGTTGGTATTATCTTAACTGTTCAATCTGTCTCTATACAAATATAATCACATCTATAGAATAGCTAAATAAACAACCCTGCCAATACAAGTAAATGCCGACGCACTGCATTGCTCGATATCCATACGGAGAGAGGAAGCGCTGCAGTCTGTGCAAAACGCTTAACTTACAAATAGCTTCATTTTAGTGAAAAACAACATGAACTAGATATCTAGTTTGGATTCAACCTTCAGCTTTACAGCTGTTTTTAAAGGTCCTGGAGGACTTGCGTGGATGTAAGTTTTTTTTAAAAACAAGCTCAGAATGTACAAATGCTCCATTAGAGCTCATTTGTAAGGCCACTAGAGTCCGTTTACTGTGTTTTATCAGTGTTTATCGCTGACTGATAATGAGCAGCCTCCCCACCCAATCCTTCACGACTTCCATGGCCTACTTCAGACTGGATACACTGCAAACATGCTGGCTTTTATTCCAGAGGGAATAAGGCAAGCGGTGTATTAAGTGCAAGAATTTCAACCATTAATTGCAGTCTGCATTAACGCTCACCATTTCAGCTCTGTAGCTTTAGCTTGAACACAGTTCTCCTCAATACAGCTTCCGCTGGATCCCTGTTCCTCTGAGCTGAACGGACTGGGACCGACGGGAACACAGCGAGTGAGCTCTGAAACATCAACCATACCACTGAACTTCAAAATAAAAGTTTTTTATTTATTTATTTTTTTACATTGTATAAGCATATTTTGTGTAAAGTAAACAGTTATTATTATTATTATGTTTCACATAATTCTTTACATTTAGTTTACATATATTCATGTTATAATATAAAAATGCTTTTTTGGTGACTTAACTTAAAAAAAATACTTTCAGGCATTATTTTGTACTCTATTTGTGTCTGGTTTGATTATTTCAATACAATTTCTGATGGTCAGAACAGTTTTATGACAATTTTGTATGCCACATTTTGTATTTGTGCCTTAATTACAATTAATTTAATTCAATTAATTTAATTCATTGTTTTGTGCTCTTTATACATTTTATTTTTTATATTTTACTGTAAAGCCTTTAGTAGACTGTTGAATGGCATGTTGCATTGTGGTAAATTTACCCGATATATTGTGACAACGTGCCTCACTGTTGGTCACAAAAAAAACCTTTAAACCTGCTCCGAGAAACCTACATGTTTTCATGTTGCAAAGTATTATTTAAAAGCATGGTTTTCTTTCTTTTGTATACAAATAAAAATGTAAAAAAAAAAATAATAATAATAATAATACACATTAAGGCCTAATTAAACTTGAACACTTATCCGAGCTTCTTCAGAATTATATTAGCAACAACAAAAAAACTTCCCTTGAAGCTGTGAAATCACTTGTTACACAACAGATGAAACGCTGCACAACACAAACTTCTTCTGATATCAGTACAGCTATTCAAATGAAGTGATGGTCATAGTTGAATAAAAAAAAGGCCAGCCACACAACACTAATGGAGCTGCAGATCTCTTTGGCTGGAATAGAAGAAACTGGAGATACTGATCTGTTTGGCTCTTGAGAGAGTGGCTGCCACTTCTGATAAAGTCACATCTGGCGTTTGCTAGCTATGTGAAATGGCCCATGAAAGTCCAGCTTTGAATCCAGATGAAAATCTCCTTTTGCTTCTGAAAAGTTACAAGTGTTGAATCTAAAGCGAGGAAACTATTTTATTGTGTTGGTGTAACTTTGAAGGTAACAGAAACTAAATGTGGGTGTAAATGGTTTCTGAAGGCAGTGTCATCTTAACCACATGGCATACTTTTGAATTCCACATTTGCACCTTTTGAAAACAATTTTATAATGTTGCTCTACATACAGATTGATTCTAAACTTTATGTCTGTACTCTAGATGCTGAGAAACCGGTCATGAGATGCGAGTCCGGAAACGCACAAGATAGAGTCAGCCAAAGTGTGATAATACACTTCTGGTAAAACAGGAAGCCTGAACGGCTGAACTCATCTCATATTTAGAACATTTCTTCAATACAGTTCATTCCTCCTTTTTCTGGTGTGAAGTGCTTAAAATAACAGGCGAATGCTTTATAGTTCAAAAGTTTTTTTTTTTTTTTTTTAAAGTTCAGAATATATTACAAATACAATATGGCAAAAAATATTTTTTACAAAATTTACTTCTTGCTATCCAGACACTTTATTTAAGTTGCCCCTGTTGAATTTAGTAATATTTCCATTCCAAATGGATTTAAATTGTTTTAATAAAGATCATAGGTCACACTGTGAACATTAAGAGTAAATAAAAAAATAATAATATAAAAGTTTCAAAGTTGAAGAGCAAACAAAAATAGATCCTTACAATGCAAACTGGAATACAATAAACTTTTGCAGAGCATGTCACAGTTTAAGAATATATATTAATTATACCTGTGACCAAAAAAGCAGCATCCCGTATGGTTCACATTGTACAAAAAAAAGAAAAAGCACATGAGATCTAAGGTAACCCTTTATGCAATAATGTTTTCCTCTTTCAAATCCTCTTTAGAAAGCCAATCTATTTTTTGAGGTGCAACATATTCAGAGTAATCAATGTCTCCACTGAACTCAGTCGACCCCTCCTCTTCATTCTTGTTGACTTCTTGCTCTGGACTTCTTGCGTCTCTCATCAACTTCTGATCCATGCTGATAAAAGGAGCGAAGGCGTCTGAGTTACCTGAACCCTCTCCTGACTGCTCTTCCATCTCAGGAGTGGCTTCCTCTGTGCTAACTGGGAATCTGTTGGAAACAAAAGCACAAAGTTGTTCAAGAGCGCTCCAACATCCTCTCAGCCCTTCCTGTAATTTTGTTGAGAACATAAGGAGCCCATTTCTTAACCATCTCACTGACCTCACCGCTCTAGACTTAAAAAACTAAATGGAATATCTAAATAAAAAAACGCATATTCCTTGTGACAAGCACAATGTTTTAGAGTACCTACTTTAGTATAGGGAAGATATTGGGAAATGTAACAGTTAACCACAAGAGTGAGTGAATAACAGGAGCATTAAAGGGACAGTTCACACACACACAAAAATACATTTCTCTCATTTATTCACCCTCAAGTTGATCCCAACCTGTATGACTTTCTTTCATCTGTTGAACAATATATTGTTCAACAGATGAACCTTCTTCAAAATATCTTCTATATAAGATATTTTGAAGAAACCAAACAGTTGCTGGTAGCCATTGACTTCCACAGTATGGAAAATTTTTTTTTACTATGGAAGTCAATGAGGACCAGAAACTGTTTACCAACATTGTTGTTACCAACTGTTAACCAACCAGAAACTAGTTGCTAACATTCTTCAAAGTATCTTCTTGTGTGTTCAAAATCAATCAATACAATTAAAAAAAATCATACAGGTTTTGAACAACATGAGCTTGAGTAAATGATGACAAAATCTTCATTTTTGGGAGAACTCTCCGTTTAATTTACTGAGAAATATTCTATATTGTTTTCAGCATTCTAGTTATCTCATTAATCTGTGAGATATGTTTTCTGGCTATGAAGGTCATGAATATTTTGAGGAGATACAGCTGTGACGTCAATGTGATTGATGTGTGGAAGGAAGTGATTCAGCATGAGAAATGCTGAGTAGAAAAAGGCACAATCTGAAGATAAATTTTAAGTAATTAAAAAAAACATTGATGTTACATTGATATCAATAAGACCATAATCACATATTGTTTGATTTGCAGAAATTATAAAACATTTGAGTGCTATATCTAGTGCCTTGTCTACTTATATAATACACAACAACTGTAGTTGTAGGAATGAGCACTAAAAATGTATATTTGACATTATAAAACCTTGCAGAAAACATCTCTAAAGCCTTACGGATATTTATATTTCCAAGAAAAGACATAGTCTAAACTACTTTGAGCAGAAATAATCTGCACTGCCAGGAAAACGATAACAGAGATTTGAATCATGTGGTAAGGCTTCACAATCAATATGTCACGACATAAGAGTGACTTGGGAAATGCCCCTGACGTTCAACAACTTCAGCATATTTTGTTAAAAAAGATTCTTTTCTAACCGCCATTTTCTATATGATACTTAATAAGGAAGCAGTCAGTTCTTCCTGTAGGTAGAAAAAAGTCTCTCACAACACTTTCTGTTTTACAGACCCCTTTGTTTACTTGCTGGTTGTTACTTTAACATTGATAGCATCTCTGATGGGTTTCTTTAAAAGCCCTATACGGTTATGTAAAAATTCCAGCTTCCTCTTGCAGATATTGAAATTATTACAACAATATCGATGGATGATTAAACTGTAACACAACTCCTGAGGTCCCATCCTTAATCATGATTATTTGTTGTTTTGCATATTATATATATATATATATATATATATATATATTTTT